CCCCGCCCGGCTCGCCCCAGGGCCTGCCACGTGGGGCCCTGCGGGCTCTGACGCTCCGAGCGCCTGCTGCGGCCCGCAGTCAGCTAGACCCGGACCGACGCGTGGCTCGCCCGGGGCTGGCGGGGCGAACCACTGTCCTCCTGCGACTCCCGGCCGCAGGCTTATCCCCTAGCGTGATCGCTTCATCATCTAACCCTTCCACGAATTCCATTCTTTCACTGAGGCTCCTCCTGCCTCTGTAAATCTGCCCTGAAGACCTTTTTCCCTTTACCTGGCAATTTCTCACATCCTGGACGCCATCCCCAAATTCCTAGGAGGAAGACTGCTACTCACATTCTCATGAATGTGAAAGACCTCCCTTCCCAACTCATTTCTGAAATGTACCCTGAAAGGGCTGCACCATGCATGGTTTCTTTTGCGTATTTCCAAAATACGTGATCCACGTTACTTTCGGACATTTTGGACAAGCGTCTCCCCAACTGATGAGATTTACAAAAGAACCACATTTCCTACCCCCCAAAATTGGGAGAAATGTTAATTTTGTGTGATAGGAGTGGCTTAGGAATCCCTTCCGTTGTGAGATCATTCCATTGAGATGGATATCAGGCCTTGGAAATGCGAATTTCTTGAGAAAATAAACTACCCATTAAACTGCCATTGTTCTGTTCGGCTGGACGTCAGATTATTTCCTCTTGGGTTAAGTCAGCGACCACCTGGGTCCAGGGACCAAAGGGCGGGCCTACTGGCAGGGCCAGAGCCAGCTAGCATGCAGGTCCCTGCTCTAGGGCCATGATGAGCAGAGAGCTGGCATCGAGTCCCTGTGAAATCTGCAGGGGTAAGAGAACCCCTTCCAGCCCTGCACATCCTGGGGAGAGGAACCCCACTGCGAAAGTGCTAATGGTGAAAGGAATGCAGACAATCCATGGTGCTGGGAAAGGCACCAAAGCAAAGACAGAGCAGGCCAGGTTGTTCCTATCACTCTTGAAGAGACTCGCAGGGCCTCCTGTTTTTCTAAAATTCAATTATCCTCACCCTGCAATTACAATGCTTCAGTTGGGTGAGGGGTGGGGTAATAGTCCTCTCATTTTCTAAGTCATTTCAGAGTAATGGTTATCTTGCAGAATTTCCCTCAGAGCCCCTTCATCTTTGTAATAATAACCCTTTGTATTTCAGACATTATGTCATCTTTTGGTATTCATATTCTCATCTCCAACAGACTGTCAAAAAGGGAGCAGTCTCCATCACTGCTTCGTTTCCTTGAAGAACTGGAAAGGGAATGAGATACCCATAGACTAAGTAAAACAAGCATGCTTTGGAGACATGGGACTCTGAAAAACAGAGTATGAAGTTCATAAACATATTAGGAAGGAGTGTTGTTTGCCTTAAAGCAGGTCCAAAAGCAGCCCCGTACGTGACTTTTCCAGGCAAAGTGTAATACTCCACTCAGAAATGAGGCACTCCTCAGGAGCTGCCTGGGAACAAACAGATGGGGAGGTGCAGGACTAGACACCCTCCACAGGACCTATCATAGCATTCTCGCTTGTTTGTAAGCTGACTGGGCAGGGTAGCACTGCCAAAGTCCACCAAAGTTGATAAGCTATCAGTAGCCCTTTAGGGGAATACAATTAATTATTAACACAGCTAAAAATCAAAAGGTCTTTTAACTCTCCACTTCCACTGTCCCCCACCCCCAAGTCTTCAAGTGTATCCTAAGTTCTACCTTGTTCCTGATCTCTCTACTTAATATTTCTTTTATTTCCCCATTCCCAAGAATCAAACTTCCTACTCTTCAAAATCACTTCCCTTCAGAAAACCTCTAGGATCTTCTGAAACATTTGGTCTACCCTTTCAAACTTTTCTGACTATAACCTACATTAAAAATTATCTTAAATAGCAAATACAGTATAAAATATAGCTAAAACTTTGACATTTCTTTAGAATATGCAATGCATACTTTATTTAATTTTTTTTTTAATGGCAACAAGTCCTCAAAATTGATTATGGCTCATAACCTTGTCATGATCCAGAGTTAAACCATCTTATATGGTTTATGGTATTTGGCGCTTTTCCTAAAATTTATTTCATTTCTATCTCTAACCTATCAGATTTTAATATATCTTGATGACAAGATGTACCTAAAAGTTTGATGTTGGGCAATATTTAAGGGAACTAAACACAAAAATCTAACATTTTTGTAACTATTTCTCTTCTGAGAAGCTACCACAGCTACCTGCCAAAAGATATGTAGAAAGACTTCCCGTAGTTGAGAACAGCCAGAGGAAAGAAACCGAGAAATGAGACCTCAGCCCTGATGTGTATAGGGGATATAGGGGGTAAGGGTATCAGGAGTCTCAGCAAATCAAAGTCCCTCTGTAGGTAAGTGTCCCTTTTCCTCTCCCAGTTAGTAAGAGCTCAGAGACCAGTTTTACTTCAGCCTGACAGGAGGCCAATGGCTAGGTTTCCATATTTTCCAGGGGAAAAATTAGTTATTTTTTTTTATAATAGTTTAATGTAGGTTAGAGGATCAGAGGAACTATAAAGGTTCTGTTCTACCCCAAATCCTTTCAGATGACCAGCACCCTCATTCCGCAGTCAAAAGAGAAACCTTGGTTATGTGTGCTCTTATCTGGTGGTTTCAGAAAAAGGCAAGTGGGACTATACTGAATTTACTTCTGGTCTAGAGTACATTGTCTATAGGATTTGTCTGTTTCATCTGGAATACCTCATCTGACATATAATTGCTCCTTTTTATAACCCTTTTTATTTTTATGAGGTAAATAAGTCCTCTTTCACTTTAGTCTTTCTTGACTCATCATCTAGCTGAGGGTATGCCCATTTTGTTAATCTTTTCAATGAACTACTGGGTTTGATTTCTTCTATTCTTCTATTTCCTTGTTATGGTCTGATTACTAGAAAGTATCTTTTATTTTGTCCTTTCCTTTGAGTAACTCTTCAGCAGAATTCCTAGTTTATATATAT